ATTATGACCATTATTGTTGTTATCATGGTGAGGTATAAAAAAAGAATGTTTAAAGAGGTCAGGAAATCCTGCCCTCTTAGGTTTCTGGTGGCAGTGAGGATGCATGTATGGGTCTTTCCTTATGGGGTGGAAGGAGGGCAGAGGACATGTGACTTTGGGTTTGATTTGTCCTCTGGTATTTGTGACATGTATGTATTAAAAGGACCAATACTGGCGTTGACTGTCCCTTAGGAGACAGAATCGTCTGTCTTCATTTCTAATATTGCCCTTGACCAGGAGATTTCAAGAGTTCAACTTGGGTCTTCTGTGTTTCTAAGATTTTTTTTTTTAATTTGTCTTTTAATTATAGATTGACACATACCTTTATTTTATTTATTTATTTTTTTTATGTGGTGCTGAGGATCAAACCCAATGCCTCACACATGTGAGGCAGGCCTCTACCATTGAGACACAACCCCAGCCCTTGTGTTTCCAAGATTTAATTTTTTTTTTTTTTTTTACTATGAACTTTTTTGGGTGAGGGTGGGTACTGGTGATTGAACCCAGGGACACTTAACCACCGAGCCACACCTTCAGCCCTTTTTATATTTTTTATTTTGAGACAGAGTCTTGCTAAGTTGCTTTGGGCCTCACTAAGTTGCTGAGGCTGGCTTTGAACTTGGGATTCTTCTGCCCCAGCCTCCCTGAGCCACTGGGATTGAAGGCATGGGCACCCCACCCAGCTAGAATAAACTTTTTAAAGAAGAATATCACCATGATTGCACATCCAACTGGGTTTCATTTTGGTAATTGCTGTCTCCTTAATGCCTGTCTTTTTCCATAGATGTAGATGTGTTATTTACCGTATCACAGACATGTTTTTTACATAGTCTTTATAATGCTATTTCATGACAGTTCCATCAAGCAGATTCCCTGAACTTCTCTAGACCATTTGTTTTGTGTGCAGTTTCTTCATAAATATCATTTTTTTGCTTTATTTCCTTGAAATATATTCCCCAGAGTAGGAATTTTTAAAATTTTTTTTAGTTGTTGATAAACCTTTTTTATTTATTTATATGCAGTGCTGAGAATCGAACCCAGTGCCGCACACATGCTAGGTAAGCACTCTACCACTGAGCCACAACCCCAGCCCCCCAGAGTAGGAATTTTGAGCCAAAAAATAAGAAAGTCCTATAGCTTTATTTGCAGCATTTTACAGAAATAAATCAGTTCATCCTTTGTTGTTTTTGTTTTGGGGTGGGGGTTGGTACCAGGAATTAAACCTGAGGCACTCAACCACTAAGCCACAGCCCCAATTCTTTTTTTTTTTTTTAAGAGAGAGAGAGAGAATTTTTTTAAATTTATTTTTCAGCTTTTGGTGGACACAACATCTTTATTTTATTTTTATGTGGTGCTGAGGATCGAACCCAGCGCCCGGCGCATGCTAGGCGAGCATGTTACCGTTTGAGCCACATCCCCAGGCCCCCCCAATTCTTTTTTTATATTTCATTTAAAGACAGGATCTTGCTAAGTTGCTTAGGGCCTCACTAAGTTGCTGAGGCTGGCTTTGAATTCGTGATCCTCCTGCCTCAGCCTCTCAAGCTGCTGGGATTACAGGGGTGCACCACCATGCCCAGCATTGTTTGTTTTTGAACCGGTCTCACTATGTTGCCCAGAATGGCCTAGGGCTTCTGGGACTCAAGCACTAGGTTTTTAGTGGCTAATACTATAGACCCATACCACCACCTCCAGCTCAACCCTTATTTTTTTCACTGTCAGTCTGTATCTCACCCAGTCAAAACTATTGGAGGATGTGATCAAACGTGGCAAAGTGTCCCAGTTTAATGGCCCAGCAGATCATTAGTAAATTTATCATCTGATCATGTTTTGAAAAACCATGATTTTCCCTTGATTCAGTTTTTTGAATGCCTACCGCCCCTTCCTCCCCAACTTCCAGTTCTCCTTCTCAGGGCTTTTGGAAGCGGTGCCTCTCAAGTCTTTTCTCAGAAACTCATCCTTTATTTACTTTGAGAGGAAGGACTTGTTTGCATATGTAAAAACAGGACCATATTGTTTGCAGATGCCAGGGGTGCTGCCAGATAATTGAATGTAAAAAGTTGAGGCTTTTAAATCATTTTTACAAACCTGGACACACAAGAGTATTTTCTTAGAATTAAAAAGAAAAGAGCATGAAGTAAAGATTGTGGGCTTGGGTTTCTAATTCAAACATTTCACTTGAGTTCATAGTAGCAACATTTCAAACCGCAGAAAGGGAGGGGCCTGGAGGTGGGGGAGGGGAGGGGACTAGAAGAAAAAAAAAACTTTGCAGTTTCATCTTTTGATCTAGAAAAGAAACATATTAGCAGAGTTTAGAAAAATGACAAAACAAAAACTCAATCCCAGCCATTTCTGGTCCCACCTAGTAGTTCCACAGTAATTTTTTCTTCTCCCATCTATGGTTCCACATCTCACCTTATTTTAAGATGAAAGTAAATCTAAAGTCATGTGTTTCTTATCAGTATGTGACTAAGCCCCTACCCTTTAGGAGAGAGGCCCACTTGTGATAGCATTTGTTTAAAGCTAATTGCTTTTAGTATTAAGTGCTTTTGTTAGAAACAGGAAATTAAGGAGGCAGTCATTTCTGTCTAGCATTGCTAGACAGATGAGAACTTCTTGAACAAATTGTCTAGTTTGAACTAGAAGGCTGGTTTCTTCTCCTAAGTACATTTTGGAATCTGCTATAGCATCCGCAAATGTGATGGAGAGTGAGTTCCAAGGTCCTGCTCAAGCCTGCCATTTTTTGCAGAGGCTTCCAAGGGCAGGAATGGCCATCCTGCTTCCAGACCCTCATTCATAAACCTCAGCCCCCCACAGGGCTTTGAGCCTGGTGGAGAGAGGAACCAGGAATGTCTGCTGCTCCCTGTGGTGGAACAGGTGACCTGTCCCAGGGGAGTCATGATAACTGTGGAGGACTTCTGGAGATCGAGAACCATCCCCAGCTGCTCACAGGGTCACTCTGGGCTAAATGGTAGCTCCAGGTAGGAGCAGGAGTGAGTGGCAAGTGGAGGTTCCAGGTGGGAGATGAGAGGCTGGTGTCTGGAGGCCTAGTGAGATCCAATTCCTGGGCAAGTTGGGGGTTTTGGAGGGCCAGGGAGTGTAGCAAGGATGAAGTTAGCACAGTGACAGTGTGCTTACAGTTGCATCTTCTGATTGCCGTGCAGTGTCAATAACCAGCGTTCCTTTACTGCTTGTCAGCCTTAACTTCCTGTTTCAGCTCAGCCCTGTCCACCTCTGTACAATGAGAGGGAGGCTAGAGGGTTGTGCTGGATGTGGATCTCCAAAGTGTTTTGCTCAGGCATCTAGAACTACCTGGGTTGCATTTTTAGCCTCAGACTCCTGGTCCTGGGCTGTTCTAGCCACAGGCACCTGGGAATTGACTGGTATCCTGTCTTCTGTGAGAATTCAAGGCATGACGTTAAAAGGAAAAATGATTTCATGATCCCACTTAAAGCACAAGGCAGACTGTATTCAAAGACCATTGCGATAGGTACAGGGACCATGGCAATGGAATTTTGCAGTGGAAAAGAGATTAAGCTCAATTCTAAATATGGCATGGGCAAATGGGAATTTCTAGCTAAGGAGCAAGGTGGAGTCAGTGGATAGAATGTTACTTAAGGGGAAATCTCAGGGATAAGGGAAATGCTAGTTAAACTGACCTAATAGGATCTTTGCTGAAAACAGGCCAGGATGACCAGATATCACCTGGAGGATGGCAGAGGGTGATTAGCCTCATCAGGTACCCAAGGTGATAAGATATCAAGGGTAAGAGATTCTTGCCAAACTGACTTAGCAGGGTTCTTTGCTAAAATTGGATTTTACAAATACATGCAAACAGATGAGCCTAGGGGAAGCTTCAGGAGCCTGACTACTTCTTGGGGCTTGGATGTAGCTCAGTGGTACAATGTGCACTTAGAATGCATAAGGCCCTGGGTTTGATTCCTAGCACTGCAAAAAAGGAAAAAAAAAAAAAATGTTTCTGTATGTTTAACCGGAAGTACAGATCCTGATAGTAGTAAGTACCCTCTACACTCAAATGAACAGACTTGTTACTTTGTTTCGCTTTTAGGGTTTTATATTCCCTCCTAGGAAAAAAAGGTTAATACTTGGTGTATCCTTGTCAGAACTCAGATCCCACCTAGTTTTAGCCTCAGACTCCTGGCTAAACCCAGATTTGGGGATTTGGGATAAATTCCTCTTTTTCAGGTTGCATCCCCTCCTTATGAGGCAGGGACTTTAATTTTGGTCTGAAAAGTCACCCTCAGGGTCAAGTCAGACTTGAATATGCTGGAGCTGTCCCTGTGTGATATTGTAGCATAGCTGTGGCCTTTGACTCTATGTGGTAATTCTTTCCCCCTTCCTCATGTCTAGCACAGGGCTGGGCATGTGCAGAGACTTTTGTTAAGTTGTACTGAGCCAAATTATTCAGGTCAAGGATCCCCAGTGGAAAGAAGAAAGGAACTTCAGGGTAAATTAGACAAGGGCCATCAAGGTCAAGGCTGTGGACTGAGAGGGGCTGCAGCTGGGGGCCTGGGGGCTTTCTGGGTGAGGATGGGGTGATCTTGGGCATCCAGAGAGCTGCTACAAGGGCCAGTGTTGATTTACCCACCCAAGCCTTTCTCTGTTCCTCTCTCCCTTCTTAGTGTGACTGACAGTCACCTTGACTTTCCTTGACTTTGGAGAAGCCATTTCTATTGCTTTTAGCTCTTGGTATTGTATTTGAACTTGTAACAAAGCAGAAACCTTCTTTTCAAGGACTCAGTAATTGTTCAATGTTTGGTTTTGCTTTTCTTCTCATTTGAAAATTGTGTTTAGAATTTAATGACCTTTCAAGAAATGCTCTGGAAAATGCCATGGCCACTATAGATCATCTGGATACTTTTCTTTTGATAATTTTTCCTCTTTTATCTGTCTCTGTTCTGAAACTCATCCTCATTTTTTCTCCCCTTTCCTTCTCGGTTCAGAAGTTGGATGGACTTGTCAAGCTCCGGACTGTGCGGGAGGCTCCATCTGAGTGCATCTGCCCCCCAGGTAAGTGGACATTCACTCCTCGCCAGTTCCCGGCTTCTGTAAGCCTGACCCTGATCTCATCTCCCTGGTCGTAACTGCTCAAGACATCCATGGCCAAGAGGGTCATCTGGGGTTTGGGGATGTTGTACCCTGTGGATGGTCCTGGGATCTTCCTGCCTATGTCTTCTCTGTCAGGTTCATTGGTCAATGATTCCAGCAAGATGAGCTAACTTGGTTTGATTAGAGGCATTGGCAGAGAAACTAAGAAAGTGTTAGAGATAACTTAAAAATAAAGGCATAAATGGTCAAAAGTCCCATTTTAAAGATGGAGAAACAGAAATGAACCAATGGGAGACACCATCCTCTTGGTATTAACCCTGTTGCCAGAGCTCTGTTTCAGAAGTGAGGAGTAAATAATCTTGTGAAAACAGAGTTTTTTTTTTTTTTTTTTTTTTTTGGTGGAGGCAAGAGGAGGGGAATAGGAAGCTTTGACTGGGTTATTCAAATTATCATGTCAGTCTTTGGTTTTGCTGTTGTAGATCAGGAGGGCCAGGAATAAAGCCAGATTTGCTGATTCCCAATCCACCTAGCTCAAATTCAGATTCCTACCATCAGGCCTTCTGGTGGTCTTCAGGGGAGCTTTGTACAGATCATGATGGAGAATTTTGGTGTGTAGTCTCTAACCCTGGTGTTTTCAGGGTTAGAATAATCCTTGCACAGGAGGATATATAATACCTGGGAAAGAGTGGAACCTTGTAATGTATCTCAGGGTTGTCCTCACTGTCACTGTCACTCCTACTAGCAAAGTTGTCCAGCATTTTCTACTCTACTTTAGCTGCTCCAGAAACTAAACTCAAACCAAACTGATAACTAATAACTCAAGGTTGGGAGGCCCCTCTGCAAAGATGAATCTCATGGTGGGAAAATTCAGTCTCTGAGGGCCCAGTGAGAGATTTTATGATTAAACCAAAGCTACCCTAGGACCTCTGAAAAAAAAAAAAAAAAAAAAAAAAAAATATATA